AGGTTGGATAAATGAGATCACAACATCATAAGCCGCTTCGGCGAAAGTGCGCAAAAATTGAGGAGCTTTTATGGACCCGAGTTCAGTGGCCCATAGATGCAATCCTAGCGACACATGCGAAAAATAAATGGCCCACATATCGTCCGCAATTTCTTCTCCAAAACATGTTATGACGAAAATCACATGAACAATTACCAAAGAGGGCGTGTTGCAGGGGAATAAAATATTTTGATAATATACTAACTATGCCAAAGCCTACGGATTTATATTTTACCTTTATGCCCCTTATACTCCCCAAAATTCGCTCTTTCCAAACCAATGTATGTTTGTTATAATCTGATGCGTGTTAGAAAACCAACAATGAAGTCTGCAGAGGTTTTTTGGAATTAATGTGAAACGGGATTTTTTTTAAACAAGTATCTCTTCAGTTACACAAAAAATGTATGCGTCAGCATTTCGTCACCGGAAGCGAACCCGGGGAATGTGCCCCTGTAGCCATGGCCTTCGTCACGGCCGAAAGGAGCCCACTAGACGGCTGCCACTTCCCCGCAACCGGAAGTGTATTTGCTTTTTGAGACAAACACAATAAAACCAAAAATATGCACGCAAAAAATTGCCATGGGAACTCAGGCATTCCCTGTGACGGTGGGCCTATGAAGGATTACGGTAGCACATCTGGCTACCCTCTCACTGACGAGATATGTACATACATGTAGCGTCATCGACTTGCCCTCTGAGGGGACTATGGAGTGAATCTCAGCCCTAGAAAACCACTAGAAAACCCTAGAAACCCTCAACTTGAAAACGATTCACTACTGAGTGAAAGGTATTTTTAGTAGCAGTTCCATTTCACTTTGTGTTATTACAATGCGATTTCATTGGTTGGCAGCTATCAGTGGTTGAGAATCTACGTGGGCGTTTGGAAGCAGAAAAAGGAAATCAGTAAAACGTCTAACTCCTTGATAGAGTAGCTGGATATTCTGAGCACGGCTAGGTCAAAGAGGTAAGGTACACAGGTAGTAAGAGGCCGAGGTATTGGCGCTGAGCCAAGGTGAGTGGAATTATCGGGGTGGAAGGTCGGCCAGCCGGTGTGGTGAAACTATGCGAGAACGTCGGCAATCTCCAACTCGCCGGCTGCGTCCCTAATCGACGGACTTTGTCGTCGGCGCTCAGCCCGTGTGGAATTCATTCGGTGTGACTCAGCACGCCAGCCTCAGCTGCATGACGGGTTGTCCGTCTGGTAGCCTTCCGCCGTTCTTGAGGATACCCGAGAGAGCGCGTAGATGAACCGATGAACACTAATCGTAAGTGATGATGTAGAAAAGTGTCTCCGCCAGAGAGGTGACTCAACCAAGACTGGAACGCAGTGGAATGTCTACGTGTTCCCTCGGCACAAAGATCAGCGATTGGGTTGCATTTGGCCAATGGAGGTTTGGAAGGGGAGGAAGGTGTGGGAGGGGGTGTAAGCTTAAGTAACACTCACAAAACTATGAGGTGCCGAGGCATGGCAGAGTGGCTGACAAAGACAGGCTTTCTATAACAACTGCGAATGCTACATAGATGATTGAATGGCTCTTCCGTGAGCAGGAGAACTTGTTGAATCACTTTTGATTCCAATAAGCACTAGAAAACTAATTCCTCCAGAGAAACCCGAATGTTTCCAGTCGAAATAATAGGGGAGAAAAGTGCAAGAAATTCGGTAGATTGACCGCTAGGTCCTGAATGGAAATACTGGTAAAGGAAGGTTTTCATTTCGAAGTTTTTTTAGGAGAGTCTAGATTATGAAGCAGTGATCTTGTGAAATTCAATGGGCTTACTTCTTCTCATTATACCAGCTTTTACTATGGGAGGTAAGATTGAGAACTTCCCTCCACTACAGCGGCTCGAAAAAGCCATAGAGGAAAAAACGGAAACACCGGACTATTTCTTGAAATAGCGGTCCTGGAGAAAACTTCCAGCATTAGTCCAAATGCTCTGATTATCTGTTTTCTCGCTGACGTTACAGATTTGTAAAAACTTAAACATGACGGGCGCTATGAACGTTTGAATGATAAAAACTCGCGCGTTCTATAAACTCGAACCACAAATCCTTGAAAAACGATTACCTCTTGATAGGGTGGTTTTTGGGACAAGTTCCACTAATTTCAGAAGCAACCTCGTGGAGAGCTTACAGAAGATATCAGCCATCAATATACCATGCCGAGGTTCTTGCAAAGCCGTACATTTCGAAGTCTGCAAAATGTTGATTTTGTAGGAAGTGAACGGCTGAATGTTGAAAACATGTGTGTGCACATAAAACGGAACAAAGGGACCATCTTCCAAAGAACTGAACATTTACAAAAGTTTAAATACGGGCGGAAGTGGTGTAGTGGCAAGTGGCACGCTTACCACGCGAGCGGTCCGGGGATCAAATCCTGGGTCGTGAGTCGCCCGGGCCAACCAAGCCTTCCATCCCTCCGGGGTCGGTTAATTGGTACCAGACTTGTCTGGGAGGATAAAAACACTGACTTGTACATCGGCTGGCCCCCGCAAGTCATTGTATAGGCCACATCGCATTCAAACGCCACTACGAATGTACAAATGGAAGTAGAAGTAGTGCCGCATCCCAAAAAGGGATTGATCAACGGCAAATGCTTTATCCTTTATCCTTTTTAATACTTTTTGGAAAGAAAACAATTTGAAGTTCAAAAATTTTCATGCTGCATCGCATGAGAGCGCAATTTAAGACCGGAGGAAATTTATCAGTTTTTTGATAGAGTTCTTCGCGAATACAAACATGCCTGTGTTCATGCGAAATGTTGGGAGTACTTCTATTCAATGAGTAAAATTTCAGTTGCTTCGATTCCCTTTCTCTGTGTTAACTTCCCACTGCCCACCACCTTTTCCATGTTGATGGTGGCCCATACATCGCTGATGGATGAAAATACATATGTAAAAGGACATAGATAACTAATAAGTGGGATCGTACTGGCCCCACTGGAAGGAGGGGGCACAACGGTCTGTTAGCCATGCTCCTCAATAACGGCCTCCAACTTTTCTTTCCATAGAACCTCTGCACCTTGCTAATTTTAAGAGTCTTATTCTGC